GTAGTGCTCAGAAGCCTATGCATTAGAGAACAAGAAGGGCCATGACTGGATTAATACAAAGTTGGAGGTTTATAGTACAGCGATTTGGAAAAGGATAAGAGATTTGGACGTATTAATCAGAAAGTAGATTAAGTGATAGACCAGGCAGTTTAGGTTATTTCAAATAATGCATTACTTTATTACTATTATTATTATTTTTAACATTGGAGAAAGACTCAACCATTGCTTAGGAGAGAACAGTTTCCCATGAAAATGTGTGTGGGTGTGTGCATATACATGCACGTGTGCTTGTGTGTTTAATCCCCTTGCAAGAAATATATGTCAGTATAATAAGGTGACTCTGAAAGGATTTACAACAGTTCACTCATTTGGATCTTCCAAAAATATTACCTTTGCAGTTACATATGAAATATTCTAATGCCGAGGCGATTATGGAAAGACGAGACTTGAAGTTTAAACACTAACAATCTAATAGAAGACAGAACTGTGTTTGAGGTGTGGTGCCTTTGAATTTCTCTGGAAATTCAAAAAACTGTTAGGCTTAATGGTGCCCCATCAAGGAATCTTCAACATTATTGAACTGATTGAAGCAGGAGATTGGGACCACCAATGTAACCCTGGTCTAACAGCGACCCTCCCAGCATGGAGATATACTACCTTTGAGTGCAGAGCTCCAAGGGGAGTGGGGGGTGGGGGAGGGCTACCTGCCAAGTCTATCACATTAACAGAATCACAGATGTGTTGTGAATTGCAAATTCACAGCCAGATTGCCTTCAGATTCCTTGCCATCCTGAAACAATCTGCATAGAGGCCTGAAATCACTTAAAATTTAACTACTTACTTTGATGAAGTTGTTCAGTTCTATATGTTATCATTTAATACATTCCAGCACTAAAGTATTGCTTACATTTTACTTCATCGATTTTACATCTGGTAGCATTTTACTTAATCTGGAGAAATGGTGTGTGGCTGCCCTGGCTTTGTGATGATTTATTTAGGCTTTAAAACTGGTCCTACAACTATCAGCTGTTGGCCCTTAGGTTTAATCTTGAAAAACCACCAAGGCTACAAAATGTTTTAAACCTTGTAAAGCAACTAACACACTTTTCATTTATTAGAATTTAGTAGTCACATAGATAATTCAAGCAAAGACTGAATAGATGCACACTGAGCTGGCAACTTAAGTTAATTTTTCTAAAGATAATTTTCACTGGCTAGTTTTTCCAACAAATTCATTACTGAGAGTTTTATAGATGTTCAAATGAAGAACAAAATTTAATGTAAATGCATTCATTTTGTTCACTATTTAACACAGTATAGGAAAGATGGTTAGTCCATCTACAGATTTATGTTGAAAGCAGCTAAAATTGATCTTTTTTGATTTGTTCCCTGGGATATGAAACTCCTGTTTTTGAGAGATTTTTAAAGAACACAGTATTTGATTTACAGAGACATACTTGTAACAAGAGTAGAGTAAAAATTCAAATCTCTGGAATAAAAAACCCAATAAGATAATCGTTAACTTGAGTATATATCTAAATGTTGTTTATAAATTAAGATAGGCTTTGGCATGACTGGGAGGTTTTCCATTGTAGGTTCGAGTTTCTTTGAAGAATAAAGTTTTATGAAAGTATGCATGAATAAGTTATTGCCAAACATTCTCAAGCATAGGCAAGAGCCAAGGGTGGAATTTGTTTAGTTTTTTAGATTACCTAAAAACTTTTCTTTTATAAATTATAAGTGTGAATATGTTACTATATGTTTTGGAAAACATCTTGAGCCAGATGTTTTGAGTTGGGTAGATTGTAAAAGATAATGTTATCTCTTATTTTTCCAAGGCTTCATTCAGTAGCCATCTTCTAAGTAGTCATGTTTTTAAGAGAGAACAAATTAATTTCTTAATGAACTTGTACATAGTGTAGGATTCAATTAGCAGTGACATTTTCTCCAGACTGGCACATCCAAAGCACTATATTTTAGACTTTAGAACATTTTTTACTAAAACATTTCAAAATTGGTCTCCTAAGATATATTAATATTAGGGTAATTACACTATGTTTAAGAAATTGCCTACTGAAAAATATTGTCTCTTAAAACAGTACTTGAGCTAACCACTTTGTTGTGACTTTTGTTAAAAAAAAAAAAATGGAACTTTTTTTTTTCCTAGAAAGACACTAGACATGTCAGAAGGGCTGGTTTGAATCTTGGTCCTGCTATCAATTAGAAATGTACCTTTGGGCAAATTGTGTAATCTGTATTAGACTTATTTGCTTCATTTGAAGATGGACGTAAAACTAATTCTCAGGGTTATGATGTCAAATGAGATAATATATGTGAAAGCCTTTTATTGTGATATGATCTATAAATACAGTGAATATGATGGACTTTGCCTAGTATGACATTTAATCCAATTAAGATAATCACTATTTGGTAGCACTGCCTCTCAGTGCTGTCTAGCTACTGTAGGTGAGAATCATATAGAATGTTTTAAATGTTTTTAAATGAATATTATGGGTGTCTTTCTCTTTTGTATCCCAAGAATGTCTAGGGAAAAATTCTGCTAAGGTGGGGTTTTAGTTTTCCTCTCTTAAATTATGGATGCACAGATTTTGTGTTTTAGTGACAATTAATAATAGCCGACACTTAAATAGTATTCACTATGTACTCAGTATGGCTCCTTGGACTCTACAATATTAATCCATCTAATCTTTCCAATAACCCCAGGAGGTAAGTGCTGTCATTACTACCAGTGTAAAGGTAGTAAAACTGAGGCACAGAGAGATGAACTTATTCAAGATTACATAGTATTATCAGACAAATTGAATTTTCTTGTACCTTTCATTCAGTTCTTAGGAAAAGTTTGGGTAAAACAATATATCGGGATAAAAGGTGTCATGAACATTACTTGGGTCTTAGATATAGGGAATGACATCTCATTTTGGAAAAATGATGCCACCTGCACACATATTGAGATGACACAGACATCTTACCTTATTTTCATTTCTATTGTTCTTTTTTAATCTTCAGTGCCTATTATTGGATATGTTATTTTTAATTTACTAGGATTACTTCTCTCTCCTGAAACCAAGATACATTAACCTTATCAGAGAGGCCAAGTCATCTCAGTTTTACTCTATGAGTGAAATAATTGAAGAAAACTCCATCCAAAGAGATAGTCCAGAACTCACCCACTCTTTATCTTTGTTTCAGACTTAGACTTTCTTTGACTTAGGTTCATATACCATACTTAGGTATTTTCAATTTAGGTATTCTTTTTTCATTCATTTAGGCTACTCGCTTTTTCATAAATTTAATAAATTTCATCAGAGGTCTTTTATGTGTCAGGGATGCTATGAGGAATAAGATGGTGAATGTGACAGTGCGTACTCTCTGCTTGTTGAGCTTAGAGACTAGTGAGAGAAGACAGACAATAAGCAAATGATCTCAGAAATGGAAGTAACAACTACTCTGAATAATGCTGAAAAGGATAGGAGCACGGTGGTCCAGGGAAGGCATTTGGTAAACACTGATGATCATAATTTGTTTTCCTCTGGCTGTCTTCAGGCCTGTACAAGGTGTTGGAGACTTAGGGAGGAAGAGCAGAGGGAGGGCAAGAGAGAAAGAATGAATGGGGAGCAGAGTTGGCAAGGCAAAACAGTGTGTAACACAAGATAGCCGCAGGGAAAAGAAAACAGCAAAACTTAATTTGAGCAGCAAAACATATATGTCCTTGAATATATCACTGTACCTTAGAAGAATAAATAGTATTTGTAATAACTACAAGAAAAGTTATTGCGTATTCAGTCTATTCAATTCAATAAAAAAGGAAGGAACACAATAAAATTAGAGTGATTTACGTTAACATAGTGAAAATACTTTATTGTTTGAAAATTTATGTGTCAGTTTTATGGTAGTTTCTTTATCCAGAATGTTGGCTAAATGAGATTTCTGCCTACATTTATACAAATATTTAAAAGCAACATAAATATTAATTGTAAAAGTATTGCTAGATTAGAAGAGAATAGACCTTGGTTTCTGGTTCCAGCTTGTGACCAGGCCCTCAATAAATAATTGAGGAATGATTGATTGCTTTACTTTTCCTTTGCTTCTTATCACCATCTGTCATTATATTATTATTTGTTTATCTTTGGGTCCAAAACTGAAGTATAAGAAATCATTCAGAGACCTCGTCATCCATGTTCCTTGCTGTATACTAACTGTTTAGATTCATTGGTATATACTATTTAGAATAGTGCCTGACCTGTAACAGGCACTCAATAAATATTTACTGAATGATGCATAAATGAGATAATCACACAAGTATATAATTATTAACTACGATTAACAAATAGTATACATGAAAGTACTTTCAAAACTGTAAATATTCCACACATGTAAGGTGGTGCTATTTATTTGAATATTTATTTAGAAAAAATACAGTCTGCTAGAAGATAACCTGTTTATTTTTCTGTATTGATAGCTTTCTCTTTACACATTTATTTCCTAAACATTTATCTTCCTTTATATCCATAGTTCGTAATATTGAGCTCTACCTTTATAGTTCTGTAACTCCTTCAAATCCAGTTCAGTTCCTCTATAGAGTAGAGACTCTCTACTCTATAGTGAAGCTTTGTGAAATCTGTCGTTGCCTCTTGAAGCCTCATGTACTCCCTAAAATTATATACCAAGTGAGTGGTCACTGTGCATTTTACTGGAGAGAGTTCTCATAACTTTCATCAGATTCTCAGAGTATATGACCTCCCACCTACACCAAGTTTAAGAATCATTGCTCTAAAATATAGTATTTTTCTTTTACTTTTTGTTGCTTTATTGGTACTTCTTTTTCTCTGAGATGGTTTCACTTTTCCTTTTTAATTTTCATGATTACATTTTGTTATTTTAAAATGTTTATTGTTTATCCCCAGTATGTGGTATTCTTGGATTATTGTACACCTCTGATCCCAGCCTTTCTCTCTGTCTCTTTTTTGTCTGGCCAACAGTGTGGGGATGTGCCAACTGCAGGGTTGTCCTCTCCAACCCTTCTGGGACCTTTACTTCTCCGTGCTACCCTAACGACTACCCTAACAGCCAGGCTTGCGTGTGGACCCTTCGAGCCCCCACCGGCTATATCATTCAGATAACATTTAATGATTTCGACATTGAAGAAGCTCCCAATTGCATTTATGACTCATTATCCCTTGATAATGGAGAGAGTCAGACTAAATTTTGTGGAGCAACTGCCAAAGGCCTATCATTTAACTCAAGTGCGAACGAGATGCATGTGTCCTTTTCAAGTGACTTTAGCATCCAGAAGAAAGGTTTCAATGCCAGCTACATCAGAGGTATGTAAACCAAAGGCAGTGCCAACCTTCTGCTTTCATTTAACATGTTCTACAGTAAACACAGGACCAGAAGAAAGAGTTATGCTCTTTTATGTGAATGTAAATGATTAGGATTAGAATTTAAGGGCAAGAAGCTGTTAATATTCTCCGAGTTTTCTCATTAGCAATATATAGTTACCAGATCCAAAATCTGGTTACAGTAGAGCTGAATTTTCATACTGTTTATATGCAGAACATTTAAAGTCTGCTTGGAAGACACTAGATATTCCACAGCTAATAATTAAAATCTGTAATTCTAACATCTCTCCAGTTAACATTTAAAACATTTCTATTTAGAATCATTTTATTTTAAGTTTTTAAGATGTTGCCCTTTTAAGGAACTATGCTAGGGGACAAATATCAAAAATTAGCATATAAATTAAGATTTTAAAAGAGCTATTTGTAAGTTAAGCTAATAGACAACATAAACTGAGGACTCTTGAAAATGGCTAATTGAAGGAAAGAAAATATATTTTATATATAATTTATATCAAAATATGTTTTTTATCAAATAAAAATATATCAGATATATTTTCTAGATTCTGGCATATCACATCAAAATAATTCCATTCTTTCAAAAACCTTTCATTGCTTAAGGAAAACACAAGCTTTAAGACTATGAGATTTACTTGCACATTTTTTCTCCTGAGCTACTTAAGTAGATGTCCTCTATCAAGAAAAACAAAAATAGAAAGGCACCACTATGAAAATAACTTTTATAAATTGTTAAAAATTTCTCATTATTATAAATTGTGTTTTTGTGGCAGTTATTTACTATTTGTAGTTGACATTAGGTATATGTGTGGGTAATTGAAACACATGCGCTTTGATTTTCCAAATGTTTTAAAAATTATAAAATATAGGAAATTTGAAAATAAAAAAGAAACTAATTACAATTATCTATACATGTACCCCCAGCCATAACCACTGATAAAATGTTGGTGGATATCTTTCCTTGTAGCCTTATTTTAATGACGCATATAGAACACTAGGTTCATATTGCATAAGCATCCTTTTAGGTAAATAGATCTTTAAACTGCTTTTGCTTTGTATTTAAAAAGTAGACTAAAATCCATGATTCTATTAAATTCCATCATGGATTTTTTAAGTAGAATATTTATATTTAAATGATGTTTTACCATAGATCTATTCTTGAAGTATATTAAAATATATTCAAACTAGCATTTATATGAAACCAGTATTAAACAGTATTTTTGAAGAGTTACTTCTCTCTCAGATCAGTTCATAATGTTTCACAATGTCTGTTATGTTAGCACAGGGCTAAATCCATTGTATTGTTTAGTAATTTCACATATATCACAGAAGGACTAGGCTAATGTATTTTTTGTAATTCATTATGTATTTAATAATAGTAATTCATATTAGTAATCAATACTAGCTATATATTGATATGGCATAGGCACTGCTATAGTGCTTTGCTGGCATTAACTTATTTAATTTCTGTGCAGTAGATACCATTGTCCTTCATTTTGCAGATGAACAGACTAGGATAGATCAAGGTGCATAACATGTCCAAGGTCACACGGCACTGTGTGGAAGAGCTGGGATAGGAAGCTCCACTGTCTGCCCTTTTAACTACTCCTTACTATCCCTCACAAACTAGATCAAATGCCCAGATATGATGGAAATATAGCTCAAAATTCCATTTTTGTTTGTCATTTTATTAGACTCCCTCTCCTCAATGGAATTATCTTTGCCTTTATTCCTGAAATACCATAGTGATGGGGCGTATGAGTATGATATGGGTGTCTGAAAGGGAGGGGGTAGCATAGGAGTGTTTGGGAAGAGCGAAAGGCAATTGTTAATGAAAAATAGGACTATTAGCTGTTATGTTTAGAAATTACTTGAAAAGTAGCATATTTTTGAAAATCTGAATTATCAATAGAGCTTTCCTAAAACTAATAGTTTATCAATTATGGTTTGGGGTTTGTTTGGTTTTTTTTTTTTTCAGTTCATGGATTAAGAAAAACACTTGTTATTAACTTGGCTGACTGTAACTCAAAGGTTTAGGTATGAGATCCAACCGCTATTAGAGTTAAAATGGGTGGGATTTCTGATTGCTATTATTATTATCGGTATAAGGAGATAGATTGGCGATCGAGGGTAAATGGACAGTGGAAGAGGAGAGTTTAATAGAGTGGCAGAGGGGACGGGTGTATCAGATATTTTGCATCTCAGTCCATTTCTGAAGTTAACATGTTTTATCTGTTATTATGTTTTGTCCTAGTTGCTGTGTCCTTAAGGAATCAAAAGGTCATTTTACCCCAGGCGCTAGATGTTTACCAGGTATCAATTGCAAAAAGTGTCTCTATTCCGGAGCTCAGTGCTTTCACAATCTGTTTCGAAGCAACCAAAATTGGCAAGGAAGACAACGACTGGATGGCTTTCTCCTACTCAGATGCATCCTTCACACAATTACTCAGTTTTGGAAAAGCCAAGAGCGGCTACTTTCTATCTATTTCTGGCTCAAAATGCTTACTAAACAGTGTATTACCTGTAAAGGATAAAGAAGACATTTTCACAGAAAGCTTTGAGCAGCTCTGCATCATTTGGAATAACTCTTTGGGCTCTGTTGGTGTAAGTTTTAAAAGAAACTATGAAGCAGTTCCATGCGATTCTACCATTAGTAAAGTTATTTCTGGGAATGGGAAATTGTTGTTGGGCTCCAATCAAAATGAAATTGCCTCTCTAAAAGGGGACATTTATAACTTTCGACTTTGGAATTTCACCATGAATTCCAAAATCCTCTCCAACCTCAGCTGTAATGTGAAAGGGAATGTGGTTGACTGGCAAAATGACTTTTGGAATATCCCAACCCTGGCTCTGAAAGCCGAAAGCAACCTAAGCTGTGGTAAGTCAGTGGCATATTAACTCCTTTTTTTCAAGCATTGTTCTATGAATATGTTTGTCAACAAGAAATCATACATACATATGTGTATAATTACATATGCGTACATGTATGCATGTATAATAAATACACACATGTATATACATATATATATATAATTGTCATTAATGAGAAGTTTTTAATTTTTAAAACGTTTTCTGCTTAGCCATTCATGGTATATGTTTGATTACAAGCCATGTATTTTTCAGTCAAAGCTTTTGGTCCTACCGTTTTTCAGTTATGTCATAAAATATCACAGTTTATCATTAGCATAGCAACAGTTATAATTATCATGTCTCAAATAGAAGTATTAATGCCAGACTGAAACAAAAGAAATTAATAAATTATTGTTTTTAATCACAAAGAGGATACAGTAAAAGTTGATTTTTATCGTCCTAGAATGAAATGTCCATGACATTATTTAAATAAACAACCACCACCTAAAAGAATAGTATTTACTCAGTTGGTATTAAATATCAAAACTGTCCATTTAAAGAAAATCTTTGATAATCAGGAATTATCACTGTTTTCTTTGAACTTTTTTTTCTCCATTTGAAAATGAGCATTTGTCATTTGTTTCAAGTACTCTTTTTTGGTGCTTTTTGGGAGTAGCTAAATGCAAAATAGGGAAATAATTCCATGTAACAAAATTATATTAAATTCTATCAAATGTCCTCTGTGTATTTAAGTTAATTTTGGAAGTCTTTATTTTACTACAGGACTGATCAGATACAAAAATGTGCAAATTTCAATATCACTTTTCAATGTTATATGACTAAATTTAAGGTGTTGATATGTACTTTTTAGTCACAGAGACAACTCTCAGTCATGGAGGTAAGAAGAAGTCTAATATTAAAAAGTAATTTGTATGTGTTTTTGGAGGAAATTCTATCAAAAACTCATTCCCAGTCTTTTGAACAAAGTAGGACCCACTGTGAAGACTTGAGGCCACCTCCCCAGGTTCTGTGACCTGTGTTTGCCCTTCCGGCCTGGGGAACTCCTACCTCTCTGTGTGGGTAACCCATTTCTCCGTGTGGCCATGGTGCTCCTGCAGATGTTGGGAGGCTATTAAGTGATGTCATTTGAGAGGTATTTCCTTGTGGGTTGTTGGAAAGAGGGTAAACCACGACCTTGTTCCAGAAAGAGACTGTGGAACTGTGTAAGAGCTAGTGGTGTTCCCCAGCTCGTCTCAGTCTGTTTAGCTACACAGCACCTTCAGGGCCTCCCGAGAAGTCTTTCACTTAGTGAGGAAAATGAGAAGACCCAGTGTGTGCGTTTGGTGTGGGATGATGAACGGGAGGAGAGGGCCCTGGCGCACTTCCTGCACCCACAGTGATAATCTTCAGTTGAGGGGCCTGTTTTCACCATATCCTTGGTCATTATTAGAAAGTCGTGATATAGACCATTTAACATTTGCCTTTCTGTAGAGCAGTATTTGAGGGCTATGGCAACCAAAGCAAACAAACGAAAAAGAATTTGTTTAGGTATATTAATAATTGTTAATACTTAATTTATACTGAAATTGAAAATATATACTAGGTACTATTTTAAGCACTTTATACTTATAACTCATTAACACAGATTCCCATGATGTGGATTTTATTTTTAACCCCATTTTACAGGTAAATCTGGGGCACAAAGGCTTTAAAGAATTTAACCAATGTTAATAAGTGTCCAAGCCTGGAATTAAACCCAGAAAGTTTGGTTTTAGAACCTTGCTCTCTTAACCAATATGATTTAGACTGCCCTTCAGAATAAGCAGGATTAGAAAATGGGACATAGGACTTGAAAAAGAGAGCTAATTTCTACCAGATGAGAAGTGTGAAGGTCCAGGAGCTGTCTCTTCTGATGAGTGCCTTTTGTGGGAAAACGCTAGCTTTCTAGGTGTTAACATAGTATTTGTTTTAAACAAAATTATGTTTTCTTCCCTGCAGTGTTTCTTGGATGCCTTAATATAATAAAATGTGAAGAATATAGCATACAAGAAGTGCTAAGCTTCTCTAAGAAATCCTGTAGACCAGGGATTGATGAACGAGAAGGGCCTATGACAGGCCATCTGTTTTTGTAAACAAAATTTTATTGGAACAGAGCCATGTCCATGAGTTTTTGTATTGTCTTTAACACTGTGTTTAAAACTCCTCTCCCAAGCCTTAAAGTTACCAGAATGCATCAAATACATGCTCATGTGGCTTAGTCATCTATAAGTTCTCAAAATGATTTCATTCAAAGGAGTGGCACAGCTTACCCACTCAGTGTACTTGAATGCCTTTAATTTTTGTAATGGTCTTCTTGACATCCACGATGACACTGAACACCCACATTCCATAGATTCAGATATCCTGGACTGTGTTTCAGGAGTCATAACAGGAGAGGGAGAGGGAGTTTCCTGCTGCTTAATCATCTTCTCTGGGAGTTGAAGAACCAAGTCACTTATTAACAGACAGGAAATACCTGTAACACAGATTGTATCTAAGCTTGTTAGCAAAGCAAAACTTCAATAAATGAAGAACAGTATGCTCTATTAACATTTTAACCTTTTTTTCCCAAAATGTTTTGGCTTGCCATTTATGGTGCTAATAACTTCTAAAAACTAATGATGAGTACATGAGTACAGTAGCCAATGGGAAAATAGAATTTATTCCTGACATTCCACTGGCCTGACAATGCCTGTTAAATATGACTTTCTTATTTCCTAATCAATCTGTGATAGAAAATGAATAGATTTTCCAAAGGCCTATTGTTAAGTAAATTTTCACATGTAAATAAGGTAGTAGAGCAGAACTGACTACATTTAAACATTCTGTCATTTGTTTCAAATATGAAATATCCTAACTTTAATAAATCAATAAATGTTTCAAGTTTCAAAATTAGGCTTTTTTGTTTTCCTAAATAATTCTAATTATACTAGGGAGGTATACCTTAATTAAGAAATTTTCATCAGTTTTTTTTTAAAAAACATGTTTAATCTTGTCAGTTCTTTTCAGAAAGAAAAACTTTATTTAGTAGCAGTTTTTATTTTATAGCATCATTTTTTTTTCCTTAGGACAATTTTATTAAACACGTTCAGTTTTATAACCTCCTTGGATTGATAATTTCCTTAGCCAACTCTTTAATTAGAGGTGCAAGTATTTGCCTGTGTTATGATTCAGGTTTAGATACTGGCTAATGTCCATCAGCTTTCACAAAGAACAGACAGTGCCTTCTCTACCAGTTTTATTTATTTTACTGCTAACTGCTCTTTCCTGAGGAGTGGTACAGTATAACTCAATGAATAGTCTAAGTTCAAACAAATTACATTTATTTTACAAGCATTTATTAAGCACTTCCATTTATTAGCCACTGTGGTTATAGAGATAAGACACAATTCATAAGTACCCAACTTTGTTGTTTTTCTTCTCTAGAAATGTTTGAATTTGTACCAACTTTTGTTTTCATTTCCAAAATTTTGTTCTTAATTACTAAGGCTTCATCAACTCTTGGATTTTTCCCTTTCATTTTCAATTATTATTATTTTTTTACCATCTCATTTTCAATGGGCAGTTCTGTCCTTCATGGTCACAAAACTTTGATTCACTATTGGCTCCTTCCTCCTTCCTTTCATCCCTAACAAGCTACTGAGTATTGCATTTTTAGATTACTAAATTATTTTTAATTAATAAAATAAAGATAAAATCACTTTGTCTTTACAAAGGACTTTATTATTTGGAAATGTTTAAACTCTATGAGCATAAATGGTTCTCAGAAATAATTCTATTTTAAATATATTTATTTGTGGAAAATTATAAAAAGGAAATTGAAAGGAATTATTTTTTTTCCCATTGTAACTCATGCCGAGGGTTTATTGCTGTCTACTATTATTTGGATTATCAGTGAGTAGGGTATAAGATGAGTTGTTGGCTACACATCAGTCTTTTTTTTTTAACCACAACTTGTGTAAATAAAAAGTGACTCCTTTCAGTAGCATAATTTTGGAAGAACAACATATAGAGAAGAGAGAGTAACAGCTTTACAGCTTTTCGTCAACTGCTCATTTTTAGTGATTACATTTCTTTCAAGGAAATTTGGCTCTAAATTTTGCAGTTACCATTAAGAAACACCTTTAAACACCTTTGTGATATCTACAAAACTCAGTGAACATACATAGGTCACATTCTGAAAACTATTTTCATGCCAAAGACATTATCATTATCCAGGAGAGAGTACTGTCTTGTCTTCCTTAACAATCTCCTGGTCTGTTGGCTAAGGAGAATTGATAGTAATAGTGGCTTTTTTAATGCAGATATGCTGAACATGGACCTGTTTAAAATTTTTAAAAAATGTGTACTCTTTTTATATTTTGTGTATTTACATATGATTTATTGTTTTTGCAATGTAAGATTTTATCAATATAATTTCCCTCTGATAAGACCTTTCGCTTGTATTTATACCATTTTAACCAAAACAATGATCAAATTTAATTTATATTGATATATTAAATCACCATAAAATCATGTTTATTGAGCATTTATAAAGCAATGTCAATTTGCTAAACTTGAAGTTGCCCAAGAAGGAGTAACCGACAACTTAAATATTAAGAAGTAAATGTTACAATATCTCATGACAAGATGTTACATTGAATTTTGAACTTGTTACTATACATTGACACTAATAAAATGTTAACAAAAATTGTCAAATATACGACCACCTAACCTCTGAAGATAACTAAAACACATACACACACACAAAACAAAATAAAACACACACACACAAAAAAAACACACAAAAAATGGCATGAAATCCTTAATTGACAACAATTGAAAATAGGCATTTATGTAAAAAAACAACTAATTGTCAGTTTACTGTACCAAAAGTTGGCATTTGAGAAATGTCAAGTCCTTACTGAACAGCCTACTGTGTACTAGATGCTGTGCTAGACCCTTGAACCCTACTAATAGCTTGCCTGCACTTCTATCTGTGACTTCTGCAAGTAAATATAAGTATTAACATATGTGATAAATAAAAAGTTATGTAAATCATAACTCTTCTGATTTTCTTTCCTTATTCCCACCTCTGAGCTCTTTATTATGCCACAGTGGAAATGTAGTTAGCCTTAAAACTTCTTTCCCACAACAATGTCCCCTTATCTCCGTTTGTCTTCCAGAGATACTGTATCAGTGCCAGAAGTTGGACTAAGGAGCCTTTGACTGCCAACATTGTGTGTAATTTGAGCACAGGAACTCCATCCCAGGGTCTCCTCTCTTGCACGTTACAGTGGCTGAGATTTCCTCAGCTATTTTGAGTTTTAAAGGCTTTTTAGTTTTTAGAATTTCTTTATTAAAATAAAGTACCGAAAGGAGAAATGAGGTCCTTCAAGAAGGAGGCATAAGTTAAGAGTTATGGGAAAGAAGAATGGGCAGAAAACTTTCAAGATAGAATTCTACTTCAATTCTGTCTGAGGCTGGCCTCAACTTCTGCCTCTTCAAATGTTCTTTTTCCATAGTACGCTTGTCTAAATTTTCAATCTTTAAAACTTCCCCTCCCTATCTCTACTTCCTTTCATAGTCAAGCTTCCCCTTTGCATTCACTCCTCAATCAAATGTTGGAAGTCTAGAATTTCATCTTTCTCACGCTCCTGAAACTAATTTCTGTAGAGCTACTATCGAAATTCCAATGCAAAGTTAAAGGTCTTCTCAGTCTTTATTATTCTTGACCTTTCTGGTACACTTGATATTAGCACATCCCCCATGAAACATTTTCACTTGAATTCCATAAAACCACCTTCTACAGGAGCTATTTTTACCTTTTCAAATGTATAGCTCTTTTAAAATAAAATATCTGATACTTAAATATAACAACATCTATGGTTACATCCTATTCTCTTCTCAAATCTACACTATAACTCTAGTGATCCCTGACACATCCATAGCTTTTGTTGGCTATTTCCTGGCTAGACTTCCTACAAAATCATGTACACCTGCCATGTATCCAGCTATTTCATAGTCACCTCAGTTTCCATTACTGGACTTAGAGGTTAGCCCACACGACGTTTTCTTCTTCCACTATTTCCTATCTCCTTTTATGAGATCATTATATATCAGTTTCTCAAGTTGGAAACCAGAAAAATAAAATGTCTTCTATTCTTCCCTTGCTTTGCCTGTTCTCTAGTAAGTCACTGAATTCTAAACATTCTATTTTCAAATGTCTTGTATCCATCTCTTTCTGTCCATCCTCATTGTACTCATGATACCAAGCCTGGATTATTAGTATTATTTATGCTTCTTGCATCTCCCCTATTTTAGTTGGTTATGGGGCCTCAAAAGTGTTCAAATTTAAATCTAATTTTCTCACCACTTCCCTTCATTTTTTTCTCATTTCCTTTAAGAAAGAGTTCAAAATGTGAGCAGTCATGCATAATGCATTCAGTAATTTACTCAGTAAAGTTCAAGCACTGACTTACTATGCGTTAGGAGTACACCGTTGTTAGAAAGTCACAGAGTCTCTGCACTCATGAAACCTGCATTCCATAAGACCCTCCATAGGCTCTTTATTACCTGGATATCTACAAATACTCTGCTCTAGGACTGCTATGTCACTTTGGTTCCCAGATATTTTCACTGCCTCCTAGGTGTGTTTTTCAGTAATTCTGTCTGCTAGAAATATTCATCTTTAGTCTCTGATCTCCTGATCAATATAGTGACCCCTCACATTCCTCACAGTTCTTCTTTGTAATAGATGGCTTCCTTCATCCTTCTCCCTTCTCACCAGCCCTCTGGTCAAGGCCTCATTCGAGTTACTAAGCACTTGACAGCACTCCAAGAACTGTTCATACATCTCCTGTTCATGCCTGTCTGACAGCAGTGACATTGTCTAAAGTATTATTATAGTCTCTGTGCTCATACAGTATAAGCAGTAAATTTTTATTGAATGCACATGTACAAGTCTATAATGAGAGCTTCTTGCCAGTTAACATCACAGACTTGCCTATAGGGTTGGTTCTTTCTGAGGTAACATCATTCCTTCCTTGGGCCAGGCACCTGAGGCAATCAAGAATGAGGAAACCATGACTCCTAAGATATTGTTAAGCTGGGGATACTTTCTGCTTATGCACACCATTCACATAGACATCTTTGATTAGCTCATGTACCTGCTCTGCATTCATGTGCTAGTTCCACAGGGAAGTTTGGAAAATGTTTAAACATTGGAATGGAATCGCTATTATAAAAACGTCCTTTTAAAATTGAATATATGTATTTATGTGTGTATTTGTATTTATTCTTCTGTCTTTATTCACAGTGCAGTATGTTTCATGATAAATTTAGCCCCTCTTCCCTAACCTTAACCTGTTCATAAAAGTCTGTTAATTGTCATAGGGAGATTTAGGGCAACAGAGAAAATCCACTACTCCTACTAGAAAATTGCTTAAAACTTGTTTCCTACTGAGGATGAGTCATTAAAAGATTGAAATAAAATGACACAGAGACCAACTCGAAGTCACAGAAACATATTTCTGGAATTGTAAATAGCATATGTTAGTGCCCAGGAACTGAATATGTGCATTTTATGAGTATTAATATCCAAGTTCACTTTCAAAAGTTACCTTTGATGTTTATACTATTTTATTTGTATGAATTTCCACTAGAACTGTATAATTTATTATGTGAAAAGGCCCTGAACTTTTTATACAAACATTTCCTTTCATGTGTGGATAGCCAATAAATTGAGTTAAAGATTTTGAGGGCTATTTCAAAAGACTTGATTTTACATTTGCAGAAATTGATACAAAGCCTTTAGGAGGATTACTTGTCTATGGCCTTGCCACCTGGAACAAGCCTGATCCCATCTGATCTCGGAAGCTAAGCAGGGTCGGGCCTGGTTAGTACTTGGATGGGAGACCACCTAGGAAGACCAGGTGCTGTAGGCATAAAAAATAAAAAAAAAGGGATCGTAAGCTGGCAAGGTCCTTGCAATCTGTGAGGTCAACCAAGGGTTCCCTCACCTAAAAAGAAAAAAAAAAAAGGATTACTTGATGTCAGAGTATTACTGGTGGACTCTTCTAAGGCTGCTCTTATTTTACCAGCCATTTGATTATGATATTTTTTTTCTGGATAATATTAAATCATGAGACAAACTTGTATAATCCTCTCTGTTGATCAAGGTTCCTATCTGGTCCCGCTCCCAGCACCAGAACTAGCCAACTGCGCAGATTTGGGGACCCTCTGCCAAGGTAGGGAGCTGGCGTTGTCCTCTGGAGTCTTTGTTTGCTGCTTGCTGTTTTGGATGATGCAGTTGTCATTGTTTTGGTTTTTATCTTAATTTTCTTTTGGGAAGCCAGAAACCAGCAAAACAGAAGAATTTCTGAGTGTGTTTTAGTTGTGTGGGTGCACAGTACATACAGTGTGGAGAAAGAATGCATTCACAAACTGGGTGACCACATTTCCATAAAGCACTGAGTTTTTAAGATGTGAATGATTATATACTATTAACCAAGAGTTGATTTCAGCTTTTTTCCCCCTCTCTTTTCAAGAATATTGCAAAGGCCCAATATAAATATGGTCATAACAATGTTTCGAAAAAGTATTCATGTCTAAAGAACAAGGGGAAAAACTAAGCCGAAGAGTCAGTTAAGTTTAAGACAAAGCCATGAGACAATTTATGATGTGCAATATAACTTAAATATTAATATAAAAATAGTTATACTAAAAGGTAATGCTAAACTAATATTAATGTAATTTATTCATTATTATAATACATAGTGACTAATGTTATGGTCAGTATTCTAATGATGTATTAGGTACTAAACAGTTGCATGCTAAGTAATATATAATTAAAGTCTTTCAAGTTTTAAAATAATAGTCTAAATATTTTGCTTTAGTTTTATCATTGCTCCTCTTAATTACCCATAACGCATTTTCATCCATTTATTCTATTAAATACTTCTTCATGAAGTAGCATGTTCTGTATACCACATTAAGAATCATGATCATGCCTTTGGTAAAAGTTGGATCTCTTACTAGGAGGACCATAGCATGAAAATGACAGGGGTTGCAAGTGAGATTAAATGAATAGAAACTGCAGGTTTCTTCTGTGGTTCCAGTGTGAGAGTGGGGTTGTAATTCATTATCTTCGTTTCCTTTCTGAGACATTATTCTTGATATTATTATCAATGAATGCCCTATGAAAATAAAATGAAGTAATTTTTTCCATGAAAGTGTAGTTTAAAAATAATTATATGAAATAGAAAAAAATCCTTAATTTGCCTAGTTCAAGATCTATGGTTTTTAAAAATTCTTATTTTCTTTTAATCTGAGATACCTATAGTACTGATTCCCTGGGTCAAAGGACCTGATGCTAGCTATTTTTCTCCTATGTCCTAAATGACCAAAAAGCATTTTCTTGTTCATCGATGAATTTTGCACTAAGATAAATATAACCGATTATTCATAATTTTAAAAAACAAAGATTTCAAAAAGAATATCCATTCTTAAGTATTATAAATTACTTTGGAATGGAAAAATTTTTAGTTAAGGATACATATTTTGAATCAAAGAATTCAGTATTTTCTAGAGTTTTTAGAACATTTCTTTTTGTGTAATCACTTAAATTTTGTTTTCAGTTTAGATAATTTTTAAAAAATTGAGACATAACATATAATGGTTATTGTACGTATGAATGTATGTTTAATAAAAATATGCTCCTGGGATAGACTAAATGAAAATTATGTGTATAGTTATTTTATTACTTATAGAGTTCCTCTAGAATCCCTTAGAATGATATCATCTAAGTATTATACAAGGGTTTAATCTTTGAGAGTTTTAATAGTATCAGAAGCATATCTATGACATAATGCTTTGAAAATGTCTCCCCCATAAGGCTTGCCATTATGGAGTGCATTTTGTCTGTCAACGTTTAGTAAAGTTATTGAGATCTGTAAATGATTGATTTAGTCTATACATTTTATTCTCATTTGTTTTCCTTTACATTTATCTTCTTAAGAAGAAATATATTTCCTCCGAGATTTTATTTCTCTTTTCTCAGTGTATTAGGAAGATTTGGTTTATTTAGATAATTTTCAAGCCGATAGGCACTGTGTAGATTGCCTTCTCTAACTTCTTGTTACAAACTTAGGAAACTGAGTTCTAGAAAGATTTAGCAGTGTAGTGATCAGCCTATTAATGGCAGACCTAGATCTAGAATCAAAATGTTCTTCTCCATTCTCTTTGTGCCAGATCCAGACTCTTGCAATATGGTACCGAAGGCCATGTGAACTGATTCTTAATGTGCCGTAGAAAGCATTGCTTTATTTTATGCATTATAACCGTAGAGTCTGTTGTATTTAGTGGAAAGAAATGATTTCCATTTCTCCTCTATATATTGTCATGAATTAATTATAGATTGCTTATCCATATTAACTGTCATGTACTCCTTGCAAAATTACATCTTTCTCATCTTTATTACCAGCTACTACTGTAAGCTCTCCTAGTACTACAACACCCACTGTCACCACTAACATTCCTGTAACTAATAGAATCGCTAGAGAAAGGAATGGTAAGAATTATTATCTTCTATATTTGTAGTATGTCTGACGTGATAAAAAATTGTATTCTAAGGGTGGGAATACCTAATGTTCCAACAAAGTTTTTGTTATTGGAATCGGTCAGTACATTTGCAAGACTAGTAAAATAAATAAACATCACTTGATTCTTTTGAGTTCCCCATTCTAATGACTAGTGGAATGAGGTCATTTCCAGGACCACTTCTCTGTACTTTAGCTAAAATTTCTTTCAAAAGAAGTTTTATGAGAAAGGCATTTAATTAAAAGGAATTAGTTTGCATTATGCTAGAGATCTGAGAAAAAAATTATTCATGATATTTTGTCAGATTATCTCTTCAGGAAACTACTTTTTAAAAGATTTTGTAATTTCAAAAAACTAAATAATTTTAGTAATTTAATTTTTCACTAAAGCCACTTTCTGTTCAAATATTGGTGACATTTAGATCAATTTATTTGGTAACAGTTTGGTCTCTGTTTTTATTTGTTGAAGTATAATGGTTAGAATGCGATTGTCTATTAACTAAATCCTAAATCTGTTTTTGAGTAAAAATACTTCAAGTAACTATACTTCTTGCCTTTTTGATTCCTATGTACTTTTCTATTTATATTATTTGTAATTTGTAAATATAGCAGTTACATAGGATAAGAAATAAGTAGGGCAAATGCCAGGTGAATTGAGTGATTATTTAATCTGTTGCCTATATGGACCACATATATAACCTTTTGGTAATTCAGAGTGATTTCAATTCCTTCTGAAAAAGAGAAATTCCAATCAGGTGACCATACCATTGCCTCTAATACAGTAATATTCTCAAATATGAGATATTAGAAACAAAGGAATTTTCTCAACGCCAGTCATTTAACTTACAAGGCCAAGACATCTGTAGTATATCACAAGGGAGCAAAACCCAAAGAAAAGAACCCACATAGTTCATTTTTTCTTTTGGCTTTGGGGGTTACATCAACTTCCTCTATAAGGACATTTAAATTGGGTATGGAATATTTTACATGAAATGTAGATATAAATTTCATTAAGGTTATAAAGACTTCGATTCAGAGAAGTGTTTATGGTTATTCTGTTAGTTACACCAAGGAGATTTATGATGGAGCAAAAATTCCAGCAACCCCCGAGACAGCAAAAGCAGCTGAAGTTTCCAATGCATATTTCACATGGACTCCAGCCAGTAGATGGGAATATTATAATTCTAACTAAGTATTTCGCTCTTTGTATGAACACACAAAGAGCCTCTGTGGCATTCTCCCTCCAGGACTGGCACATCCTCTACTGCCCAAGAACGTTTATATGATGCTTTAGAGTCCTCAACTTGCTGGAGTAGAACTGTATTCACTCGATCATGTCATTTCTGACATTCTTGAAGAGAGCCTTGTTTAGTCCATCGCTCTCCCTGCGTCATAACCTTCCTTGGAGTTTGAACAAAGCAAGCAAATGTTCGAATCAGTTGAAATGGTTTGACTTGACCACATTAAAGAAAAAAAATCTAGTTCAGATGATTCTTGATAAAAATATAATCCTAGCATTTAAAAATGTTGAAAGGTTTTCAAAAGTGGTCATGTAGTAGAAATATTCTCAAAATTGTGTCTTCAAATTTTTGTACCATTTTTAAACCGCATCCTTGAAACACCTCTACTATTTAATAGTATTTTTTCTAAATTGACTCACATTTTGTACTTAAATGTTTTTATTTTTATGGGAAAATCGATATCACTATTGTAAAATGAAACCACTACACCATTTTTAAAAATAGAAGTGAAAAGTGAAAATAAATATAATGAAAACAATGGTATTGAATTCCCCCTATGTCCTATTACTTTCTCACATCTCAGTGCCCAAAGCTTTCATTATCTTTTTAAAAAGGAAGAATAACAAAGTGTTAGAGATAGTCTATAATCAAATAAGATTTTTTCTTTGATGTCAAATTTGAAATAATTGAAAAGAGAATTACTTGTTCACCTTGTAAATAAATGGGATTTAATGTCATGTCCTGGGCTATCTAAGATCATTCACATACTGTCAACAATTTCAGATATACTTTTTTATTCCTTGGGAAACTCATATAGTAAACATTCTCAGGCTTATGATCTGATATATTAGAGAATCTTTTTTGTTCACCATAAGAAAGATAGGCACAAATGTCAAATCTGTTTTCTACCTTATCCAGTTTTTTAAACTCTGGACTATCAGAGAGTTTTATTGAGTTTATCGGAAATGAAAGGAAAAGAATTGAAATTGATTGACAATCAGACATATTTCTTCAGTATATCAATAAAATGTGCTTTCCCAGCTTTTGTGAAATGTTCCTATTTTTTTGTGTGTGTAAAGTTCTTTTTATTTTCAATAAAACTTTGTAAGATACCTCAGATTATATACTAAGAAAATCTTATCTTTTAAGCTGCGTTTCACATGTATTTCAGGAAATGATGAATAATCTAGGTATTCCTGCAAATAACCGCTGTGCCTTTTGTATTACATTCCCAAGAAAAGCTCTTGGACTAATCATTATTTCCATTCTAAATATTCCATTATTTCCGAATCATATTTTCTATGCTTGAAGCATCACTCTAGTGCTACTGAATATTAAACTTTTGTGAGGTCAGCAACCCAAGTAAGAAACTAACTTCGTTAGTATTATTATTTTAAAAACCTAGCTTACAAATACAAACTATAATACTACTTCTAGTTTCTTACATACATTTAACTACTCAATTAAAAAAAATCCCTCTGAAGATATTTGTTTGTATCCAACAATATCTTTAAAAAATTGTGTGTGTAGGATGAGCAGGACTCATCATAAATGGCACTGTCATATCATAATTGCCTGATCACTAGTTCAAAAAATAATCTTGAATCTAAAATAACATTTGTTTTATATTTTAACATCTGTCTTTTCAAATATATATATATGCATATATATATTTTAAATCTGCATTTTCAAACCTAGTAGATAAAGCAGTGTCTTATCTATATTGTTCAAGAAACTGAAAAGAGTGTTAAAACAAAAAGGAAAAATTAATTGGAGAAAGACTTCCAGACAGGAATGCTGTTTTGATACCACATCGGTAATGGCAAGCAGTGACTCCTACTTTGATGTTCTTTGTGGCTGGAAGAGTTATCTAATTGGAAGATGGTTATATTTTTAAATACCTTTTTCCCCCAAAGTTATGTCTATCATGAATTCTTCTGGCCTGGATGTCATTTAATTAGAACAATACATATATCTTTTGAAGTCTCGATCATATGAAGATTAGCGAATAGCTTTTCTATTGAGACACCTTGGGAATTGTTACATTTATAGAAGACAACTTGACTGCAAGGATGACATGGAAAAGCCTGCATCAGTGTGTCTTAATTGCACATTTTCTGCACTGGCAATGCTTAAACCAATTATTTTGCAGCAATTTTAAACCCTTTTCACCAGCCCTTTAGTGGACATTTTATTTTGCTTTGACATTTCATTCTCAGACATTTTTCACAACTACTTGTTGACTACATTACTCAAAAAATTTTTAAAGTAGAACGAGTAGCCTCTGCTGAGTAGTTTTTGGATAAGTATATAAATATATCGTTTTAAGGCTTCTAAGGAGACACTACTTGACAATGATCTATAGCACAAGAGAATATGTAACACAGAATGCTAGGTTGTTTGGTATATTTACATATTTTATTTGCCTTAAGCCAGATAACTCTAAGGAGAGTACTATATTTATGTTGATATAGGCCACCTCTGATATTGGGTGTCTTTCTCATTTATAAAACAGTGAAATGAAAAAAAAAAGTGAAGTAGGAAATATTTAAAATTAAACAATATCTTAACTATTTGATGCTTCCATAACATTTCAGAAGTGTCAGTGATTAAAATGACTAATTTTTAGTGTTTTGCAATATTCTCCTGAATGGGAAATTTTAGCAAACATGCTTTAGGTCTCCATCTAGTGGTAGTTTTTCAGTTACTCTATTGACATCAGTGAAAAATCACAGAATATCTCTAGGATTCTGAAATAAATATAGATTCTTAGAATTTTGCGATTTGAATTCTAGTCATTAAGAGTGTTCATGATTTGCTGTGATAAAATCTACAGTGTAAAATGATTTTATTTGAATATTATCATTTGATTTAAATACATTTCTCTAAATATTTTCATTTAGAATATTTTTTAAACGAACATGAATTCAAGATCATTAAAATACTTGAGGAGTTTTAGAAGCTGAAATAACCTAGTCTGCATAAATTAAACTCACCGTACTCGGCCTTGTACCAATTTCATATGTTTATATTATATCTGGGAATGGTGGTTTTTCTTTTTTTTTTTAAGCACGATTCTGACCAATGTACTGGAAAAACATTCCTTTTAGTAGTTGGACTGGAGTTTACATTTTGGTAGATTGGGGAGTTTCCAGGGACATACTTTTTTGTACTTTTTCTAAAAAAATCTTTAATAAAACCATTTTCCATTATTGTTTTAATTGTGTATTTCTACATTTTCTGTGCATATTTTACATAAGACTTACCAAAACGTAAGCCTGAATAAAGATGCAATGATTGCCAGTAATGGAGATGCAAAAAAAATTTTTTTCTTTATAACCTACTCCATTTTAAAAGGGTCTTTTTCTTGTTAGCTAATTTTAGTAAGATGCCCTGTAGCAAACATCTAAGGAGATTTAGCAAATCCTGGCTGGCAAGATTGATAGGTGTATATATGACTACTTTAAAGACTGTTCCCAAAAGCAAAAAGCAGAATCTTCTGACATAACGTTTTCTTTTTAAAGCAAGCTTGTACATTCAAAATCTCATCTGCAAATATTACTTCTTTCCCCCCCTCTACTTTGGTACAAATGACTACATTTATGGAATTTTGATGAAAAGTCTGGTGAAATTCAACTCAGTAACTTTGAAGAAAATGCTTTATCAGGGAGGGGAAAGAGGCAAGGGAGCAGAAGGGGCTGGGATCAGTAAATATGTGTATGGCTGTTCTTTTTCAAGTTAACACCTGCCCATCTTCTTATTCAAGCTTTTACATGCTGAACTCTGTAAGTACAAAAAAAGGATAATTTCTTGTTACAGGATATCAAAGTGTACATGAAAAAATTACCACTTTACAGATCATAGATATCAGAAATTTATAGATTTTAAAAATACAAAGAAACATATGCAGTTGATAATTCAAGAGCAATGATACCCATAAGAGTAAAGTAATTGTTCACTATTTCTAAGAAGTTGCAAAGGTCAATGAGCATCAAGTCAAAATATCTCAGAAATTTTCTGTACCTAAGTAGACAGTGTTTCTTTTAACTTGTATGAAATTGTATGATTGTAAATTTACACTGATAATTACATGACTATAAAATTTAATTAATGGGCTAAATCTTATTTCCAATGGACAGATGGAATTATCTATAGAATTTCCATAGTGATTCTAAACATCCTTCATCACGCTGAGGTAAAAGTACAGAGCAAGGTGACAGAATGGGTAAGTGAACTCGTAAGATTTCTTTTTTGGTTTTAAATCATTAACCTCTGGAAATCTGGGAAAGATCCTACTGTCTGAGTAACTAAGTCCACAGATCATACTGAAACACAGATGCTAGTCATTAGAAATTGATACATAAGTTTGGTGGTGTACTTGTGCATAGAAAAGAGATACGTTTGAAAAAAGGACCAGAAACTGAGCCTAATAGACTATTTAATGTCTAAATAAGAAAGTGCCACACAAATGGAAATGTGTATTGGTAGGCATCTTTATTTACTATGATAGTCATACATTTTTAGCACTGTTTTGCAATGTATATTACTTTTAAAAATTTAATTATTCTACTGTTTGACTAAAAAAAAAGTCTAAAAATATATACAGCAACTCCTCGAATAACAGTTGCATTCAACGTCATTTTGTTATAACATTGATGAGATGCTGTAAGAACTTACCTCTTATTTATGTCAATTAACCTATGATAAAATTGGTTTCATTATACCTCATTTCACTCAAACTTGCAGAACCCATTAATGACTTTAGGTGAGGACTTACTGTATCATAGAACTCTCCCACCCACTTGGATATACATTCTGAAGTAAGAAAAATGGGTTTTCTTGTAGGTGTCTGATAAATGTGCTCTTTTTAAAAATTTTTTATTTTATTATTTCAAGTATATAGTACTTTGGTTAGACATTTATATAGTTTATAAAATGATCCCCCTAATTGCTCTTTCTCTCCTCTGGCTCTCCACTTAGCCACTACATTAACGCTAACTGCATTCCCTATGCCATGGTTCCCATCCCGATGACCATCTATCAACTACTAATTTGTACTTCTATAACCCTTCACCATTTTCTTCCAGTCCCCCAACCCTCCTCCCCTTTGGCCATCGTCCTCAATAAATGTGTTCTTGGTAGGAAAAGAAAGTTAAACCATATCCTGAGAGGTACTACATATTATATGTATACTTTATATACATATAATATATTTGAAGAATGATAGGTAAACAGTTTTATTTTTAAAGGCAACACCCTTTAAAACAAGTTGACCACAAGAAATAATAGTATGTAATTAACAATTCTGTTTTAAAATCGGGGAAGTGATATTCCCTAATAGAAGTCAAAGAAAAAAGCTACCGTTGACTTTTTTAATGACACATTAACTTTAGTAACCAATTTAAACACTAAATGTGTTTAATTTCTAAATGGAGAGCAGACTTTACAGAAGGAGTATTCTTGAATTCTATTTTCTTTCCAGAATTGTTCTTTTAGTTTTTTTTTTTAAGTCAGTGTTTTCAAAAGATAAAATTCTTTATTTTCATTATCAAATAAACCACTTCTTGTGAATCTTGAAAATTAGCATTCACTAAAGAGTCTGTTTTAGACAGGTATGATTTGACATTTCTATTTATTTAAGGCACGGTTTTCAACACAGCATCATTCTCATCTGGAGCTAAACTTTACTGGACACTTTCAGTTTGAGATGCAAGATACCAAAGCAGATACTTGATAAAAGAGAAAATATAAGGAGTGTCCCTGATTCATGTTATTACTATGCACAACTTAAAAATAATTTAACACTTTTTGCTAGAATTTCCATTCAGTTTGAGAAATACCAGGAAGGCTAAATGTGTATATGAAACAAGACCCAAAAAACCCTTTAGAGGTGATATATAATAAGAGAATTTCACGTCAGTAAGGAAATCCTGTTTTGCGATTGTATTGAACAATGCATTTTTGGAAGTTTGTTATTTATATTGAGAAGAATCCATTGCCTTATTTAAAAGTCTGGTCCTGAGACCTACAAAGACTGTTATGAAACCACACAACAGTTAACATAATTCTCAGTAATCTTAAACTTATTTTTTTCAAAGGTTTATATTTTTAGTTTATAACTTTTCTGTCAATATTCTTATGAAAGTATAATTACCATAAACATATGTTTTACTGCACCTTGGTGTCTATTGAATAAAGACTATGGAAGGTGTCCATTGTGATGATCTTCCCTGTGTATCCTCTTACAGCTAAATTCTCTGTGTTATGGCTAATTTGGAGGCCCATTTTATGAGCTAGAGTGGAAAGTGTAGTGTTTCAAGACAGACTTGGGTTTCAATCTCGGATCTGCTACTTCTTAGTTGGGTGACTTTAGGCAAGCTCTAACTCTGTGAAGCTCAGTTTCCTCATTTATAAGACAGCAGGGACAGATAATACCTATCTCATTAGCTGCTGTGAGATTGAAAGAAATAACATTTGTAAAGTTCTTGGCATACAATGATCCAATAACTGTTATCTTTACCCTTTTTTCATTCCTCTAGCTCTACAGGATTTTCCCAGGGTCTTATTCCAATAACAACTTAGCTTTTGGGAGGGAAGAAACTTGATTCAGGGTTTTTTTTGAGTATTACCCAACTTACCCTTTTCATTGTATTTTGCAGCTCAATTCAACCTTTGAAAATTGGAACTACACTGTGTATGTGGTTAATATCAGGTAAATGACAGAATGAATTACTTGAGAAATAAAAAGTAGTGACTAGTACTACCCTGTATCTCTCTGATTCTACCTACAAACATGCACATGCATAAATATACACACATGTACCATATTCATGATCTTTTTAAAACTGCTCTGTATGATGTCAGTTCTTTGCACAAAATGTTTAATGTTGCAGCAGTGGTTTTTAACAAAATATTTTGATCCTGATCCCCAATCATTTTTTTTAATTTAGCCTGTACTCCCAAAATATCTTTGTGACTTTACATAAATTGTATATGTGTGTGTATATATGTATTACTTAACCAATATATTATACATTACAATATATCACAAATTAAAAGAGGACAATTAAATATAAATAGAAGTTCTGGTAATTTCTTCTCACACCCCAGATCACCTATAGTACCCCCAGAGTTGCATGTACCCCAATTTTGAGATCACTTTTCTATAAGACATCTACAATGTGATTGCATACTAGCTTTTCAAAATTATCTTCACTGTTCTTCTATTTAAATACACTCCAAAATACCCAGTAAATAGTATCATCTACATATGCTTCTCTGCACCTTGTTTTCACAGTTATACTTTAATTAGCTTTCTGAAGTCTATTTCATGAATTCTAAGCATATATTCTGTGAATGCAAGAGATGTAATAACACATAGAAAGGGATCAAATAGTCAAATGAGTTTAAGAAGTACATTATTAAACAAACAAGCAGATTTCTATATCTCAGAACATCTCAGACACTTTAGCATCCTAAAATGCACTGTGAATCTTAAAAAGAGAGCAAGGGCACACACAATTGTTGAGCTTATTTGACTGTGAAGCTAGTTAGTCTCACGTACTTGGAAGAATGAGAACCTCATCACATACATAACTTTGAAAATACTGGCTTAGAATGTGCATTCTGCCTCTCTCTTTCACCTCCTCAGATTTTGTTAAGGAATTGTGTAACAGATGAGGTTGATAATGAATACGTGTATTTTTATTTATAGTTTTCACCTGAGCACAGGAGAGGACAAGATTAAAGTCAAGAGAAGCATTGTGAATGATCAAAGGTAACACTGAGAAAATCTTACAGAAAGTATAACGCTCTTTCTCTTGCCTCTGCTTTGATTGTCTGATAGAGAAATGAAAGCAATGACATAAAAGAGGAACATTTTAATTATGTTGCATATTTAGATTATGTCTAAATAATGCATACTTTTTTTTCTTGAAGTTAAAACCATAATATAGTTGACTGGATAAAAATGTACACCTGATGAAAAATAATTCAGAAATAGGATATTTAAAATAGATGTTATTAGTGTTAGTATTTCTGGTTTATTTATGATAATCCGTTACCTCTGATCTGAAATTTCAGAGAGAACTTCAAAGAAAAATAATATTTTCTTAGCTTTTTTAAAAGCAAGGTATGTATGTATGATAGCATCTAGTAATATGGGTAATAGCTGCCAAAATATTTTCTGTATTTTAAAGCCATCAGCTAATTTTCTGAAATCTCTATTTTAAATTTATAGCAAGATAATGTCTAAAGCAGTCAGATAATTTAATGGACATGTTCACCATATATAATTAATTGACATATAAAAGCCAGCTGTTCAGAGTGTCATATAACAAAAAACAATCTAAAATCCTAAATGGAATAAATTTAGTTGTGTCCAGGGTACCATATTCTATCTCCATAAAATTAAAAAAAAAATTACTAGAAAAGCAAAAGTTCACATAAGTCTTGCTCAGTTACAATTGACTGAACTTAAATTATGGATTTATAACCTTAGTGATGGAATATACTTCTCTTCAGGTGATATATTCTTATTAGGAGAAGATTAAAATAAAATTCCATATGAGAGTTGACCAGAGAGTTTTCTTCTTCTTTTTTTTTTTCTTATTCAACATTAGAAAAAAAAAGTCTTTAAAGTTATATTTGAAACTTATCATTCCTGTATATATTCAACAAACAAGATTGAGCCATCTGATTAGGAAAAATTGTTTTTATTTTCTAATGTTTTTTTTTTTCTTTATGATCTGAAGTATAATGTATTTTCATACTATATTCTCGATGATGACAGGACATTTCTCCTCTATTTAGCCAAAAAATTTCTTCTCCAACCCTTACTGCTAGATCACATTGAGCCTTGAATAATGGATCCATCAGCAATCAGGATCCCTTTTCTGGACACTGTGTAACCATTGAGGCAGCCCTGCTATAGAGTCTCACCAATGGGAGACGCCCTTCAAGAAGTCAGCATTGCCCTTTTTGGGTTACTTACTGTGATTCTTCTACTCCCTGACAATACTAAAATCAGTCAACCTTAGTAGAGGTCAGCACCTCAATAACTCATGCTTGAAAGACATTTAAATTCATAGACTCTGTTTCCTATCTGTCAGACCACTGGGTGACATCACAGAAAATTACAGGGAGAGCGAACTAAGACAATATATATAGGAAAATCAACACATTTAGCTTCTTGGTACAAACTCTTGACATTGTCTTCAACTTTATTTTTATAGTCTTCCACCCCCTCTTTCTGTCTACTTTCTAATGCTCTTGATGAACCTTTATAGTCTCTCTCAGTTTTTCTCAAAACCTTAGGCTACTAGTTTTACACACACTCTTGTTTCAAGATTTTCCTTTTAATTTGATTGTAACACAACACAGAACCATAGCTTCCGAGAATGCT